CCGCTGTTTTATTGCATTCCAACGGTTGTTGTTATCGCTGAGGGTGTGACCGCCACTCTGTCTAACTTGTCCTGGATCAATTATGTGACTATGAACCTCAGCTACATTTTAGTGTTAAGTTGTCTAGGAGTGCGTGCGATGCTGTTGTCAGTTTTGACGATTCAATTTTATTTTACGACTGATTGTAGGGACTGAGTTAGGTCATTGCGCCTGCGCACAGTGAGTTGGCTGGTAGTTGTAACGGCGCCGTTTTCGAGACATCTGTCTCAATCGCTTGTTTGCCTTCTTTCATTTCATTGCATATCTATAGATATTCCTGTACGACCTTACGTAATCATCAGAAATAAATGCGACCCTCGAAATTGATTATTGTAATAATAGTTGCATGTTTTGCTTACAACTAACTTGCTATTGATCTAAAGCATTATGCATCGCATAAAGTATTTGATAGAGGCCATCACCTGATTATGATATAGTCTGTGATTTTCGATTAGATTACTGTGCGCTGAGAATCGACCTTGATGAACCAGCGTCGTGCGATCAAAACCTAATTGGATTGCCGAAATTCGACTTTGTTATTCTCATTGAATTCTCTCAGCAGAAAATTTTCCATTTATTGGCAATTGCATAGGTGAATTTAAATTATGCAGAAGACCTACTGCCAATGATCCGCACTGAATTTCGTGACCGAAGGACTGCGATGACTTGATATCGCACAGTGATCAAAGTGGAATCAGCTAGAAATTCAGAAGTGTAATTACAGCATCGTGAAGAGCTTGCCATTCATGTACGACATGATGAGCTAAATGAAAAGGTTGAAGCGGATAACGACCATCCAGTTATGCGATCCAAAACACTGATATCAAATAGCGGTCTCCGTGCAAACAGGTTTCGCCAGAATTTCATAGACCATTGTGCCTACCAGCAAATCGATCGTATCGATATTATGTTTTCCGTATACCAGCTGGTAAATTCAATCCGGTTTTCGACAATGGTGGAAATATTTTTGCATATAGGAAATTCGACAGATTTATGGAGATATGGAGCAGGTCCACACGTTTCGTTTCTGTTTGAATCCATATTCACCAGCGGCCTAAGTTTTGAAGCGGATAATAAAAAAATGATCAAGAAGGCCTGATACGTTTATATCAGTCCGCAGAAAAATCAGTCTCAACAGCAGCGAAACTCGCTATATATCTGACAGTTGGTGTGTCAGTTCTGGTACACGTCGCAGCAACATGTGCCATTACGGGAGAAGGATGCAATTCTCCTTTAGGCAGAGAACGCTGGGTTTCCGGTTGAGTGTGAAACTCACGTAATACACTTGCAATTTGTTAAGAGCGGTTTACCCCATCGGAGAGAGATGAAAAAGCTAACAGTTTTGTTGTTCTGGCATGCTCTACAAAAACTTCAAGCACTCATCAACGCGGCAATTATTTGCGTGCGAAATTCTTGGTGAAAAGGACTAAGAGGCGATCTGAAAAATCGATGAATGGAAACTCATTAAACAACGGTGTGGCGTCATACTCATCGACAAATGTTAATTTAGACCTTCTGTAAATGTGGCTTATAATACAGTGGGTAGTACTAGTTATTGGCATGATACACGGTGACGTCGTAATTCTGCGCAACACCTGGTAACTCAAATTTCCGCCTTTCTCAAAGCGGCCAATTCGCTTGACGGGAAATTGTCTATATATATGTGTTTAGTTTTTGAAATCAGTGATGAGAATTGCTACCCGATTGCTTACGGCTTTGCGATACCGATAGTATAATGCATGGAAGGGTTTTGACAGTGACTGTGCAGTTGGCTGTACTTTGGTGGAAGTAGCCTAGAAACGGACAGCATTTCGTACGAAAAGCGGACAATGCTGACAACAAACTTCCCAGATAATTTTGCCGGAACTACGGAACGGGGAGACTTATTGTCACATTGTCTGATGCGGGTGCCTCAGACCCACCTTGTACGTGACATTAGTGTGCGATAATTAGGAGATGATGTTAACTCTTTGTGGTTTAAGTAATGAAGTATTGTATGCGTATAAATTATTATAGCTTCTAGGTTTACGTGTACATATCTAAATCGGTGGTACGTATTACTTCTCACTTTATTAGGTTACGAACTGTCCAAACTTGAGCACCGGATTGGATCGCCCGAAAAGCCTTTGTCAGACTTAGGGAAGCTCACCTATCGAAGCTACTGGAGTTGGGCACTGTTGGATATTCTGCGCGAGACTAAAGATTCAATGTCGATCAGAGATCTCAGGTAAGCAACAGTTTTGAACTGCGACGGCCGCCGTTTGCCAATCTGCATCCTCTTATCATTTGATTCAGTAAGGTGACTGGTATAGCCCACTGTGACATTGTCGACACGTTGCAATGGCTGAACATGGCGAAATACTGGAAAGGTAGGTACGTGCTGTACCTGACACCTAAGCTGATCGACGATTGCCTTCGAAGCGAGCTATTCAAGCGGCCGGTGCTGACTGTCGACAAGGACTGTCTGCAATGGCAGCCCGTGGAGACGTCCCCGAGTGAGAATCGAAGAAGTCCCGATCAGTAACGTTATTCTTTCAGCGAAACTTTACTGATTGTGACTTTTTTCGTTTGTTTTGTACACATCGTGTAAGTTTTTAGATTTGTGTAAGGTTGAAAAATGCAACAATATCTTGTTGCGTATTGTTGTGTACTATTGTTTATTCGTGAACTCATCGTTCATTGTGATAGCAGTAGTAGGCGATGATGGTCTTTCAGTGATAGCGACAATCGCTGCAGAAATTACTCTTGGATGGACAGAATTCATAGATTTAAAACGTTCATTAACATGTTTTGCCGGTGTTGTTCAGACTCAATTCGTGTACCGATAGAGAAGGGCGTGAGACAGGGTGATCCTTTATCACCCAAACTCTTTAATGCCTGTCTCGAAATGGTGTTCCGGAAATTGAACTGGAAGGAGGGTTTGAACACCAACGGCGAACATCTGAATCATCTGCGCTTCA